TAGCCACATAATTCATCTTTAAGATACGCCCAGAAAGAAGTCTATATCTTTATGTTTCTGGAAGATATGAATTTTTAAACATTGGGGAAAAGAGGCTTCAACGCAAGTAACACGGCAATTTTAAGATAGGACAATTAATAAGAATTGTACCTTCCGTTCGATTTAGAGATATATCGTCCCACAAGTAAGGATGTGTAGGCGTTTTGTTGGATGAACTTGCGACGGGCGAGCCATCGGAACGTGTTACCATTTTCAACGATGTAAAACCTTCCGTGACAGTTTCGAGTTTCGGTATATATCGTCCACCAACGTAAACTAATCTGCCATCATCTGCACGTTGAAATACAGGAGTAGTAAATGCGTCACCACCCGAAGGTAACGACGATTGATTCCAGTTTGTACAGCGAACCTAAATTAATAATTTTTTTGTTGTGTATAGTATATGGTAGCATATGTATAGTTGTGGACAAATCGGTTGCGATACTTTCTTTTTATAGGTTTCTAATATATATTATAATATACATAACATATATTTTATAGGTAACTAATGTATCTTACAAATGCGAATCACGATGTATTATCTTTAGTCTAGAGACAGTATAGCATCAATCGTGGTTCGCCTTTGCGAAATATTAGTGCGTTTTGAAACCTATGAAAAAAAAGTGTCGCAACCGATCAGTCCACGACTGCACATATATACTAAATTAGATATTCATTGACTAATACAGATATTAACAGAAGCATTAATACACTTTAATTGAATGCATTCTATATAAAAGTACCTGTGTTAAGTGACTGACGTAACTCGACATCAATAACGGTGAATCTACAATCGGTTTATTCACTTGCATATGCAAATTCACAAGTGTGACATCTTCTTGCGAGGATACAGCAGAGATAAAGCTGGTAGACGATACTGAATGGCTGTCCGACGAATCTTGCAAACCGCAGTTTTCAGTTGATTGATCAACTTCATTTTGAAAACTAGTGTTCCTATTTATTCTGGGACTCCTCTTTGTATTTAATATTTGTGTCTTTGCTCTCTCCAACGTATGCGCTTTATCCGCCACCGAGATGTTTACATTAGCCGAGCTCTCAACAATGGACAAATCTGACGAAAATTTTTTCTTTATACTGTCGTTGCGGTTTAAAACGCAGCCAGAACCAACGATGGATTGACGTAAACTGGACGTTCGACTGCCGCTTAATCCGTGACTCATATCTTCATCGGCCGAATAAAACGCTTCCGAGTGATTTTCAGACGACATGGAGACTGTACGTTGCACCTACGAACGATATATAAACGATCGACGTGATATAGCGGTAAAAATTTTTCAAACATACATCTTTTACATTTTCTACTACCTCTTGCTTTAATCGTTCTTCCGAATTTGTCCTGGCATATAATGAATGATGAGAATCCGATATATTTACTCCTTCGCTGTCTCTTGTAGTCGATTGTGTAGACGTGGAAAGATTAAATTCAGTTGAAACTGTAGGCAAAGACTGCGGGCTGCTTGATTCAAGTGTTTCTACATTCTCCGTTGCAGTAAAGTAATCTACGGCCAATTTGGAATCGGATACGCTACTTTTAGGTGCAGTCTCAATTTCTGGTACATTTAAAATGGATTTACTGCGTTCTGCATTTAATTTAGAATCAGAATCTAATTTCTGGGGTAACTGTGCTACCGGACTAGCGTCAATCAAACGAGAATATGGTACATCTTTCGTATGCGGCCCACTGCAAGAAAAAAAAACATTATATAATTAAATTTAGATATACATAAAATTTTATAATTTTCGTAAAATCACACAGACAACTCTACACTTTTATACGCACTATTTTTTAATTCAATTATGCAGCAACTAATACTACTTTAACTTTGTTAACGATACGGATATAGATTATGAAATACAAAATGCAATTTTTAGACTAAATCATGCAATATCAGCAAATAAAATAATCATTTATTTGAAAATATTTAAATAATTAAAAAGGTCGCTGCAAAGCTTTCAAAGATTACCGCATCGATGTATAAGAAAATCTTCTGTCCAACGATTTCCTATCTCCACTAGATATCAATGGACTTGCAGACGCAACATTTAATTTTGTACTATTATTTTCTTCTTTATTATGATCGGTCACCGACCTTGGACGTTCAATGCTTTTCTTCAGAGTTTGTGGACCATCCTGATTGACTGTTACTTTCAATCCTGTCATAGGATAACATACATCTTGCAAAGATATATCTTGCAAGCTATATGGTGGTGTGTGGAATACCAATTGTCCATCATGCAAAATAGACTGTCCAAATCCTTTCTCTTTACCAGGTTCATGAATTCTAGGAATAAAAATAGTTTATATCAAAACAAGAAGACACTAATTGCGAAGATAAAACTCCTGAATTATCAAACATGCTCAATAAAGATAAATATCTACCTGTAGGCAGCAATGTTAGTACCATCTTGAAGATCATGGTAGCTTGGTTTAAAAAATCTTGGTCCGTTCCGGTTATTGCCAAAGAATACGCAACCTCCTATACAACCACATTTCGTTGCCTTTACTCCACTTTCCTGTGGCCATAAAAACCACAAACGTTTTGTTGCCTCATCGTGCATTTTTAAATATTTATTTTGTACTAAGTGCAAATTGTGTTCTGGAGTTGGAAGAGAAATCGCGGCTTCTAGAACAACTGGACCCAAAGATATTGATCCTACTTCAAGCCATATATCCGATCCATCACCTATCACATATGTAAGAAGTATATATTAACAACTTCTTTTTATTAATAATTTAAATATTTACATTTAAAGAATTAAATAGCTAGCAGTAAAAAAAATACCTGACATTCGGCTGCTTGCGTTATTATGAGATCGACCACTACCAGTTGTATTAGTATTACTTGTATTCGCAAAATAATCTGCCGCAGACATAAACTGACGAATAGCTATTGTAGGTAGAACAGCAGTAACGCCTGACTTTACTTGATGTCCGTGAAGATTACAAGTAGCAACACGAATCGGAGATATCCAAAACTGTATGGCAGTACCTACTTCTTGCAGGTATAAATCAACAGCATCTATGGACAGTCTCGTCATTCTATATTTTATATCTTCGGAACTTGGGCACCTGTAACGTTAATATTTCATTTAATAATAAGTATAATAGTAGTGGAGACGATCAATAATTCTTATCCTATTTTTTCTTTTTCTTTTTTATTATTGTAAAAGGCAAAAAACATTACCTATAATGTTTATCAACGTCGCTCTCTGGACATTGCAGTGGCGCGAGACCATGGTGGCAATGAAAAGGTAAATTAGGTGGGCGTAAACTGTTCTCGGTACTTTTCGCCATTAACAAGAAAGTCTCTAACGATGTAACGAAGTGATGTAATTGGGGAGAAGTGATCTTCCCGCTTAATTTGCCCAACTGCACCTCGATCAACCACGCATACTCTAATGTTTCCTGATCTAAGCTTCGTTCTTCATTGCTAAACATAGCGTGACCTCTAACTTGTAATGCACTCAACATTAAATGCCCCTGATTTAGATGATGTTCTTTATTTGATCTTATTACATTATCTGTAACTAAAGCAATGGCAGGGGAAAGCAACAATTGAAGTTGCGTCTCCTTGTAACCTTTCCTCATTTCAAATCCAAAACGTTCCAAAAGTATAACCGGGCATGGTGGATCATTTTCATTGCAATTTTTTATTAGATGAGCTTGAATGTCGTGCATAGTAACGCCAACAGTCACTTCCAATGGTCTATAATCTCTCGGATCAAACGGCTTAGATTTTATTTCTTCATCTTCCATGGATGCCTCGATACTGCTGTTTTGTATATCTTTATCCTTATTTCTTTCTGCGTTTACGGACGTCGAGGTGTTTCTACTTTGTTGCATATCGGTAAACATTTGATAATCTCCAAATAAATTTTCCTTCAAATGCATAAAGTTCTTTAGCAAAGATCCGTATAAAATCAATATGGATGGTCCGATTTCAAGTTCTACGCTAACTTTATCAGGCGCTATGGACTGCGGGTCAAACTTTTGTGCGCCACTTCTTGCCCACTGCAAGCCTGGCGATTTCCTGCATTTGGGAATTCGCATAGGTGACAAGAGAATTTCTTCCTTCTCCGGAGTTGTTATATTCGCTTGCGGAGTAGGGCCTAAAGGCGGGCATAGATGATAGATATAATTAATACTCAACGCCACGATCGGTACGGACCAGCACTCAACCCAGCCTGACTCCTTTTGACAAAAGTTTCTCCATTTCTTGCCCCTATTCAATTCATGCAAGTGCTTATGAGATCCATCGCGCGTCATGATTTTTGCATTCTTGTCGAGTGCTAATAAAATAATACGGTTGGTATTAACTTCCGGCAAATAGAACAAAAGATCGACGCTTTCGCCTTGAATCCAGAAACGCAGGGGTATTGTGACAGGTAGAAAGTCTATGAATGGAAGATCAAACGAAAGATCAAAAAGCTCCCCGCAAAAAGCGATGTGCGCATTCTCTTGGTTCTGAGACGAACAATCGATCCAATTGTATTCGTTGCAAAGCGTAATGAGTTCAAATTCTTTCAAAAGTAAACTAAATTTCCAAGTATACGGGACAAAGTGTAGAATATCAGGTCTCGCTTTACTCGCCCAGTCGTTGATCATATCTTGGAAAAAGTCCTTATGTGAATAAACTAAATTAGCAGTTGCTTTACATCCAGTCAAGTTCAACGTCCATTCTTGATAATCGTTCCACTTGATAGGATAATGACACTTGACTCCAAATTCCAAGGTCTCGCTTTCGACTAGACTCCGATACTGTAGACTAGTTGTAGCTTCCAAATGTAAAAGTTGACCCGTTATCTTTGTAGTATAGCCATCTTGCAACACTATCCATGGCATTGTAATTTCTAAATACGATCCTGGTCCTACGTTGACGTGAACAGCATTTGTTTCTCTATTTTTACTAAAAAGTATATCGATTGTAGCTTCATTCAATGTTGATAATCTAATGTCGAACGACTGAACTTGTCTTTTATCTCCCGGTTTAGGCAATTTCGTAATCTTCAGTGATTGGTAATCGTTGGGAAAGAAGAATTTAAATAGATGCTCTCGCTGTCTATCGGCCCAAGGACCATAACTGAAATCCGTGCCCTTTCCACATTTAATATCGATACCCCATATGGGAGGCATTGCCTCAACCATGTCTCCATTCACCAATTGTATCATTTCAGGATGTTCCGGTACGACACCAGGTTCATCCATGTAATAATAAACTTCCATATTATTGGAACTTAAAACAACAAAACCTTCTCCCATGTATCTAGGTGGGTCGTCAACCATTCCGGTATATTTCGGGCTAGGGGCCAAAATCACTTTAAAATTCTCAGCCTTGCACTTGGTAAAGTGCATAAAATGATCGTGCCTGGATGCTGCTGGTTTCGTAGAATATACAAAATGTGCTTCCTCCACTGTTATCGATAATGTAGTTGGTACTAATCGATTACCGAATACCAGTCTTCCCTAGAAAAGAAGAAGAAACATAAGACGTCAATGTTGTAAAAGTGTGTTTGTCAACAACTGCAAAGCAGGATTAAGATCAAACAGAGATAATTTAACATTTTTATTGTTACTAACTGTGCAAATATCTAGTTTAATGACTGGTATCAAGTCTCTCCAAGTACGTGCAATCACATGAGCTTCCTTCTTCCTGATATTGTCTACATGCCGAGATACATCGATTGCATTTATTTGTGAATGACGAGTTTCATTGGCTGCATTATTTATAGATTCCCCATCCAGATCGTCGCTGTTTATATTATGACTTTCTTCGTCAGCAAACATTTGTGGTGTAAGACCAAAATTTTTTTCTAATTGTGCATAAAGTTGACAGCGATTGTAAACATGTAACTCAAAGCCATTTAACATAACTGATAGCCGTGTGTCAGAATGCGAGAGATCTACAATATAGCAAATTTTTTCTTATAAGATATACTCTTACTTTATACACTTTGATTTTTTTAATTTATAATAATGTATAGTGTATACTACACAGTATTATTAATTATTTTATATAGTTACTACAAAGTATTAAGAAAAAACATTTACCTTCTGATACATCTTTAGGGACATAGCTTCTCCACCACCTGAATATGAGCCAACCATCCTGAATTCTAAAACTGTAATCTGTTGTGATATAAACTATGTCTCTAAACATTATTTTCCCACTTAAAGCACTTAGTGTGACAGATCCTACAAGTAAAAGTGTAATAAGTAGCCTGAAAAATAGCTGGTCATGCAAATCTCTATATTAATTGTGCCAAATTTTCTTACCAACTTTAACATATCCATCTCTAATAACAAATCGATTTAACAACTTTGTCAATATGTAACCAGCCACTCTACTATTATAATAAGCAATATAAACAATCCAGAATATGGCAGATACTAGTGAACATAGCAACCATATAAAGTTGCTGTCCATTTTAAGATCGTCCAGGATGACATGATCGGAGTAATTCCAAAATGCTGATTCAATCCCAAAGAAGGATGAGACTGTAGCATTGTATACTTCATTCTCCTCCATGATGATGCTATTTTCTAACGACTGTTGAATTAGAAACTATTGTTCATAATATTTTTCGTCTGAAACAAAAATGTGTATGTATGTATGCAATATATATATATATATATATATATATATATATCATAATAAATGTAATTATCTAATTATAGAAAATAAAGAGAAGAATTTATTACACTTATCTATCATAAAAACTTATCTCTACCTTGCATTTATTTATATTGTCACATTTATCTTAACATAACCTATGCATTTCTATGCAGTTTAAAAAAAAAATCTATTATAATTCAATCGAGTATAAAATGCTTGTACTACAAAATGTTTATTATTCGTCTAATGTGTTTTTTTAAATAAGCAATTGACAAAATTGTGCTGACATGTCAAAAGAAATTCTATTAAAGCATTTGACATTACAAAGAAACAAAGTACGTCTTATGTCCACCAGACGCATGTTCAACCGTTTACTCATTCGTATACAACGAAAATTTAATGTTTTTCTTTTCTAAAGATAATTCATCGTAACGATTTCGTCTGCAGGAGAAGCGATTATCTGTTGAACGCAAAACGACATTTTACTTCGATAATTTACCTTTATTAGATAGTCGGGTACAAAGCACAAGACATTTTGTCGTGCCATTCATATTTCTACGCTTGTCATTATAATAATCCTATTGTCATTATAATAATCCTGAAGAGAAATGTCGGAGAGAGAACTGTCATCAATGGACAATGACACGCATAACCACTCCATACTTGACGTTATATGCCTACACCGATGCATTATTAAGGTAAGTTTGTACGGTAGCGTCAAAGTGTTCCTCCTCAGAGAAAGATTGCAAACGTGCCCTAATTATATATGAAACCAGAGAGGAACCAGAGAGAAGCACATTGAAATATGGGTTCCAAGTTCCAAAACTCATCGAGAAAAAGTGTTATTTTTCTGCATTTTTCTCAGCGAGTATAATTACTTGTGTTAAGCCCGTTCTACAATACGTCGTATGTCGGGCCGTAAACCGTAAGCCGTAAGAATTGACCATTCACAGTCAAATGTAAGAAGAGCATTCGATTGTGACTAGTCAGTTTTTATGGCTTACGGCTTACGACCAGACATACGACGTATTCTAGAACGAGCCTTAGTACAAACTAATTAAAATATACATTTTTTCGGATTGTCTGTGACATTTAACTAAATTTCTATGAAATATTTATTAATATCTACTTATACATATGTTGCTTTGTACAGTTTTATTCTATATAATTAGAATACATACTGATTTCAGTTGACAGAAGGTTATATTACAGTTCTAGATGAGGAAATAATTCTTGAATTTTATTCGATTTAATTTTTTTCCGTCATATTTTCTCGTTTCTAATATTATAATGTTATATATTTGAAATGTTTATAAAACGTTCAAGCTTTTAATTTTGTTCAAAATTTATGTTTTAGATTTATTATCGTATATACATAATTAGCTATATTCAAGTTATTCAATATATTGAAGATGATACGTTTATTAACCAGAGGCCCACTGTTAATGACCACATTTCCATTTCAAAAGGATTCTAATCAATACGATAAACCTGTGAATGAAATAATAAAACCATTGGATGATGAATTGGGTTGGGACAGAGTAAAAAATATTTTTTCTTTGGAGTATGTTTTTTTTACATATACATACACAACTAATAAAATCTTTTTACTTCAATTGCATACATAAAATTTTTATATAATGAATCATTATTCTAATTTAATTTTTTAGTGAAAATAACAGGTTTACAAAAGAATTGCAATCTATTATAAATATAACGCTATCAGGTGCTACAATTGGCCTAGCTCTAGGTGGCATGAGTGGAACTAAAACTACAGTAGATAATTTTATCACGAATAATGAGGCAACACGATTCATAAGTCATTTCGATGCAAAACGAAATCTTCAACAGTCGATTATTGTAAGTTTTTTAAAGAAGGGCTCGAGATTGGGAGCAAAACTTGGGACATTTTGTTTTATCTTTAGGTACATACACTTTATAATCTAAAACTTACACAGAGGATTATAAATAATATCTAAAACTTACAGATTATAAACGATATTTTTTCTTTTATAGTTCTATAACAACGTGTACAACGGCATATCGTGGGAGGATAGCAATAGAAAATTATATGTTGGGTGGTTCCATAACAGGATTGTTATTTAAGATAAATATGGGGCTTCGAGCGATGCTTGTTGGTACCGGACTTGGTGGTGCATTAGGTGGAGTATGTGGTGGTATATCACTTCTTATTCTTAAGTTATCAGGAATAACTGTAGACGAAGTATTAAACGCACAACAACAGTGGATGGAATCGAGGTATAAGTAAGTAAAAATAGCCATTTTATGATTTTGATAAATGTTCAATTTGGTATTGCTTGTAAGAGTTTTATACTATGTACATTCGGTTTCATTGTGCTATCATTAAATGTATAAGAATGATAAGGTATACTGATAACGTATTTTAATACATTGACGGTACATATATGTTTAATAATTACAGGGCGCGTGAAAAAATAAAAGAATCTATGACAACTGAATTACCAGAAATAAAACAATTATACCAAGAAAATAGAAAAATATGGAATATTCAACAAAAAAAAGATAATGAAAACCAAATAGATCCATAATTATATAAATAAATCTTATACATAGAAAGACATCTGTGAATTTTAAATTTTTATTATCCATTTGTCATTAAGTTTGTCCTAAAGTTTTGCAAAATGCGAAATAATCGAAAAATATTTTCTAACAAATACATGAACATGTATGAATTTTACATGTAATTTATCACAGTAAGTGCAAAGTTTTTGATAAATCTTTTATATATTATATAATATATGTGTGTATATAAATTGACATAGAGAGATCAAACAAAATAAATAATTATGTACTTTGAGCATATATTTACAGAATAGGCCAAAATAAATGTTTAATATCTTTTTTGTTTTTTTTTAAATTAAAGTAAATGAGATAAGAATCATGCATACGTCATAACAATGGATGCACAAAAATACGATGAAAGAAATTACTATCCTATTCTGCTTTTATTTTGACGTTATTAACCACGTAAAGTTTTTTTTAATTTTCTTGGTCGGAAGATGCTAATTCCTGAACCTTGGTTATGCGTTTAGCACCTCTGTTTGGTGGACCCTTGGGTTTAGCGAATTTTGGCTGATGTAAACTGATTTTTGGATGCAATTCCTCTTGAAAAAATTCCTCAGTAAGTTCCGCTCCAGCAGCTATTTCAAGCTATGCAATTAAATTATAAAGAAAAATTATAATATAACACGTATGTAATGTGTATGTAGTAGAATAAAAATTTAAGAAATAAATAATACATATCAACAGAAGCATGAATAAAGTTACATGTTAAGAGATTTATCACTACAGAAATGGAGAAAAGCCAGGAAAAAGATGAGTTACATAATGACATATGGCTGTAGATCATATAGCAGGCCTATTCTGCAAATTGTAACAAAACATGCCTTCGAATCTTAAAAACATACTACATACCTATTTTTAAGGAGTGTATCGCCAAGTCGTCCTTAACAATAGCTATATACATACCCAAGTGATCCTTAATAATTATATCGTATGTACCTAGTATAAATGTATATCATACTGGATATAATATAAAAAGAAACACCAAATTGTGAGTTTAAGTTGCATAATGCTTTATTATTTCCAGTATATTCAATATCGGCAAGATATACAATTTTCATGATTTTAATGCGTTTTTCGATATAACTGAAAAATCCACAGCTAAGATAACATTAAAGAGTTACAGAATAGGCCTGATATGAACACTTAACTAAAATATATTCAGCAATATTTTGTGTGTGTGTGTATGTGTGGATCACGATTTTTTAAAATTTAAAAATAGAATATGTACGTTTAATTAATCTCCAATATAGTATAAAAATTACTTCAAATATATTTATGCAAATATGAGCCAAAAACTATTGTCTTTCCTCTTGCGTTTTATACATTTATTAACTGAACCAGGAAGTTAAATAATTCATTAAAAATAAGAGTAATAATTAGAATTATAAATTTCTTTAAAACATCTAAAAATCGTACTGATATAAAAAATATTTTAACTATAAGGAAGGAAAAAAGAATTTGGCTCACAAATTATTTTCATAGCACAAGTAGACCCAGCTGTTTTTTATTTATTTTTCCGCACGCATATTTTAGACTAAAACATTTAAAAAGTTTATAAAAAGCTACAAGTGTTAAAAAAATACAGATCACGAAAAATAGAATGCCTCTCATATATTTTGTTGCTGGCTTTCAAATTATAGTCCTATCTGCTGTCCAAATTGCATGTCCACTAATATTTGAAAATCATTTTTAAGAAAGACCTCATTATATCCCTATATATATTTTATTACTTAAATAAATTATCGTAATTAATAAATATATTAAATAATGATCTCAGTACATTTTGAATAACATAACTTTTTAAATTTTCAATATAAGGGTAATGGATGATTAAATCGATTTTGTTTAGTGGTTATAAATATAACACGTAACATTAACAGCTGATAGGACTCGTCAAGATCAGTCTTACATCATACACATATTTGTAGAATCTAATATTTTGTAGCATTTACAATAAGTGTAGAACATGATATAAAATTTTATATGTAAAGTAACTATATAGTGTTATCGCTATCTTGTAGCTGAAATAATAATGTGCGAAAAAATATATCCACATTAATGTGGCGTTTGCATATTTATCACTCGTTCACTACGTTATTATCATATTGAAAATATATAGAGAAGTTAGGTGAATGGCTTTAGCTCTTTCTCTCCTTTCATCTATCTAGAGCACAAATGGAATTTTTCCTAACTCTCTATTCATCACACATATGAAAGTTACCACAGATCAATATTAAAAATATTACATTATCAAGTCCTATATGAACATTTGAATGAGTTTAAAAGCCAAGCCTTCAAATTTCACTCTAAAAGTACTTAAAAAGACACATATCACCTTTATAAGACTAGGAACTAATTCAATACTTGGTACAGTATATTTTTAATAAAAATATATTTTCTAGGAAAATATATTTTTTTTTAGGTATAGGAATATTGCTTGTAAAATATATATATATATATATGTGTGTGTATACATGTATATAAAGTTATTAGAATGAAGAGGAACTCTACATGAATAGAATTTGTTAGGTTCTGTGTATAACTAAATTACATTTTACGCATTTCACACAATTGCTATCACATGACATAATACTCATACTAAGTATAAAAATTAAAAAGTGAGGCTTAGCTTTCAATGTCAAACAAAGTAATCTAATTCCATCTCGGTACTATTCTTCACATAAATGAATAATTTCATACAGTACCTGTATGTGAAACATGAACTATATGGGGTTATCTGTACTATAGGCATGTCACACTTATTATCAATAGTTATAATGGTGTTTTGCAGAAAGCCTTCCACAATGATAATTTTGCTTTTAAAATTTAGAAAAATACACCATCTGGTCTACTCTGTTTTGCTACTTAGATTTACGTATCACTTTGATAAATTAATTCTAAATGCTGATAAACAACACAGATTAATTTTCCGTTGCATGATGCATTACATTTTTTTGCTACTTGCAAATTATCTCATAACATATATTTATATATATATAATTAGATAATTGTAATTTGCTCTAACGTGAAACATTGGAAACCCATTACTTTATTTTAAATGACATCCTATGTCAATATCATACTATCACAATTCTGGAATTCATGAAGGAAGATATTTTGATGCACAAAACATCATAAACACTTCAATTAGCAAGAAGCAATAATAATGGCAGAGACAAATGCTTTAAGCCAGTTTTAGCTCAAGACACAAGATCGTTTCGGTTTTGATTTTTTCTCTGGTATGGATTGAGTAGGAGCACAAGGTGTTGACGGAGTTGCAGGAGTTATTGCAGCTGAGTCTTTTATGCTTGGAGGATCTTCCAGCTTATCTGCCAATTCCTCTGCACTATTTACTTCCAACTAGGATCGCAGTTATATAATACAGAGATGGCAGTTATATATTTATGTAAATATATTTAAAAAATTTTTAATAGCAAGAAATGATAAATAAATAAATAAATAAGTAGTACATAATAATATTAGACTTAGAAAAGCATATATATATTATCGGATTATGTTTGCAATTATTATTACGAATACAAGAGAGAAGACACAAGAGAAAAAAAGTATATAGATTTCTATTGAGGCATACTAGACTTTAGAAACAGAATACAGTCAAACTACGCTAGATTTGTATTAAAAATGAATATCTATATCACATATATATAATATTGATAAAAATTTTCAACTATTATTTAATGAGTATGCCCATTTAATTGAAATATATGACCCTCAAACTCAAAACAATAATTGTGCTAAAGAAAAATATTTACATAATGGATCAGAGTTAGAGAGTTACAGTGAATTATTAAGATATTCATAATACTAACCTTTTTTATTATGGTTACTCCTAGAGACTGAATTAAATCAAGCAGAGGCGCTTTGCACGAGGAATATAACATCCTTTCTTTAATACTGCAATTATATCCTGGCATGCTATATATGAAAACTGAAAAAAGAAAGAAAAAAATTATTTCTTACACTACACTAGGTATGTAAAATAGCGGTATATTTATTTATCGCGCTTACCTATGCTCTCTGTGTAATCTCCTTCGTGAGTGTGCTTGAAATTATAAAGATGATATCTAGCAGCATCGGATGGAACTTTAGTAGGTAATTTATCCAACGAAACATCACAGGCTGTGACTAAATGTATCTTTTCCTCTTCCAATTCAATTTTTAATTGGATATATTCGTGAATCCCTTTGCCCAGTTCCGTGATGGCTTGCTTGGCTTCATCCGTTACTGGGAAAGCCACGCCGCTCAACGTTTGATGTCTCGTTTCAACGTTGTAGTCCGTAGTCGCGGTGGTCTTCTTCAATTCAGCTAATTCCTCCTCCGCCGTTGTCAACGGTACAGGCGCTGTATCATTTCTCTTATGTTTGTGATAACCATCTAATGTAATATCCTCCGGGACGGTGCCGTGTAACTCTTCCTTTATTGAGGCTGTACCAAATTCCTGCTTCAGCGTAGCCTTAGTGGAGGCATAAAGCATCTTCTGCCGTACCGGCGCCGTATCGGGAGACCAGGATATAAATAACCAATCGTAGCCGGAATCTGGTGATTTTGTGTCCAATCTATAAAGGATATAAGCCGGTTGATTCTCCACAATCAGTGGCTTGATCATCTTATCATAGTCGTCTTGCCATTTGTTGATTGGCTTTAAACTAGAAGCTGGAGTTAGTTCCTCTGGAAAATGAAAAAATAGATATTAGAGATGTCATGCTCCTGTTTCGATCTTCAAATCTTACAGCGGAATAAACGCTGTGAGATTCGATAAAAAAATTTTCTTGCTGCATAATCCAGAGCTCACCATTCTCTATCGAAATCTTTAGCACTCGTATCTTTCCGTCACGGCATTTCGCGAACAATTTCTTCAATGCATCATTGGCTAAAACAAATCGAGCATTATCGACTTTACTAATAAAAGGAATTGACAATAAAGGTTGAAAAGACTCTCTTATCGATTCATTAAAATTCTTCGTCGTGGCGATGCACATCACGCTTACGCACGAAGAAGCACGCTTAATTACCTTTGATTCCTGTCTGGTGTGACATTATTTCACAAGGATCTTCGTTGCGCTGCTTGTCGTCACGTCGGAGTACGTCGGCCGTCGACGTCGACCACGTTCGAGAGTTCTTTCTTTCTATGTATTTCTATCCGCCGAAGTTTTCCCGAGAGAGGAATCACCCGATTGCCAAGTGTTAGGCCGAGAACATACGGAAACACTCGGACATGGTAAACGACGAACGAATTGACCAGTCACAATATCGTATCTTCTCGAGAAAGTAGGTTAGTCGAGGAAGACGTTCTACTCCGATAGGTGGATCTGCTTATCTCTTCAAGTGTCATGTGTATCTAGCTTTATAAATCAAGTATGCATGCATCGGTATGTATCTGACATTCTGGCGGACGTTGTTCGAGAAGGTGATAAGATCCGATAACAGAAGCGAATCTTGATCGAAAAAGTTGTCGACCTATGCATTCTTGGATAATGATTATCAAGAAACAAATATGTTTATATCAATAAATCTCGTATATGTATACATATATGTTAATACTAAAAATTTTCCATGGCACGCGCGCGCTGCATTACATTAGACTAGAGTGCTGCGTCAGCTAATTTTAGAATAAATTTAATAGGTTTTAAATTTAGATTCTTGTACACGCGAGAAAAGTTAAGAGATTTCTTCTCGACGAGTCTCGGAACGCAGCGAGACTCTTTGAAAGCGCGACAGGCTCTCGTCCAGCCGTCCACGGATATGATTGTGATATGCGCAAGTTCATTGTGTGTCGCGCAGTGAGTACAAGTGAGCACAGATGACAGCCGAGTGATTACTAGTATATGAAGTATCGAGATGAATTTGTGCAACGTGCCACCCGCGCATGATGGCATAAGAGTGATTTTCGATAATTGGAATACCTACACGCGCGTTGCTCGATAACTCTCGTCATCTCTCGATCGTCGCTTAAAAGTCTCTCGGAGCAGCGAACTGCAACTCGCGCCGCTCGCGCGCTCCGCTCCGTTAACCGCTTAACGGTGGGTGCTTTCCAACAAGAAGAGCCTGGTGTTACACAGTGTGACACAGAGAGACACTGTAAAATATAGTAATTGGAACACTAAAGTTACCAAACACGACCACTAGAGAGCGTAAAAGACTGACTAAAGAAGGAAGAACACGAGCGAGAAGCAAAACAACGAGCGCAAATTAATTATTTCGTAACAATCGTAACGAATTGTTATTCTTAACTACGGTAAATTTCATATATGGATTATATCGACACGTTGATA